CAAAATATTTTATAGTTAGAAAATAATCCGAAAGAATTATATATCTTACATGATGGACCACCGTACGCTAATGGAAATTTACATATTGGTAAAGATCATTTTAAATTTAATCATCAAAAAAAATCCTTATTAATCATTTTATCTTATTTTAGGACATGCTTTAAATAAAATATTAAAAGACATTATAAATAGATACAAAGTATTAAATGGGCATAAAGTCAAGTAAGGTTCATATAATCATCTAAGAAAATTCATCTCTTTTGCACATAATATGTATATTAAAATTATTCAAGTTATATTCCAGGATGGGATTGTCATGGCTTGCCAATTGAATTAAAAGCCCTAACAGAACTAAAAGTAAGAAATCAAATTTATGATTTCCTTTTTTTAATAATTAAATAATCTAATATTTATATATTATATTAGAATGTAGATAATTATTCATTAACACCACTTCAAATTCGCAATGTAGCAAGACAATGTGCATTAAATGCATTAGAGAATCAAAAAAAAGAATTTATTAATTGGGGAATAATGGGAGATTGGGAAAATCCTTACAGAACTTTGGGTAAAACTAGATAGATATATTTATTTATTTACTAATTTTCTACTTAGTGATTTATTGAAATTTTTATTCATTCAGATAAGGAATATGAAGTTAAACAATTACAAGTATTTCATGAGTTGTTGAAGAAAGGTAAGTATTATTTTTTTTTGGAAGAAATTTATGTTAAAACGATTGAATTTACAAGGTAATTTTATTTCTTTTTTTAGGATATATTTATAGGCAAAATAAACCCGTATACTGGTCTCCCTCCTCAAGGTAAATTTCGAAAATATAAATTGAAGTTTCTCATTTCATTAAATATTTTATGTATTGTTTCTTTGTATAGAACAGCATTAGCTGAAGCAGAGTTGGAATATAAGGACGACCATCAAAGCAGATCTGTTTATGTAAAGTTTCCTATGATCAATTCAAGTAAATATGAACAATCTAAAATTTAAAAATTCTTTCAACATTATGGCTTATATTTTAACGTTGTTATCACTAGCCCTGGATTTACCAATTGTGCCAAGAGATAATTTACATGTATTAATATGGACAACAACTCCATGGACTCTTCCTGCAAATCAGGTTTAAATCTGATTTATTGCCATTACTTTTTAATATCTCAATGAATACTAAAAAAAAATTAATTTATTTAGGCAGTTGCGATAAATCCGAATATGGAATATTCAATTGTCTGTCCAACGAATGTTGACCACAATACATCAACTATACACTATTATATAGTCGCAGCTAAAAGAATAGATGCATTGCAAAAAGTTCTTGGCACAGAATTAAGTGTAAAATCTACATTCGAAGGTAAAATATTTAATCGAAGATTATTCCCGTAAATTCTCGAGATCAATAAATTGCAGCGAAGGATAATCAATGAAATATTTTATATTTTTAGGTCGGAAACTCGTTGGGGCAACTTATATGCATCCAATAAATATGCAACAATGTAAGATCATTGAAGCTTCTCATGTAACTGAAGAATCCGGTACAGGTAAATATTTTTATTTGATTTCAAATCTAAAAAAATTTTCCATACTTATTAGCTCTTAATTTATAGGATTGGTTCATATAGCACCAGGTCATGGAATGGAAGATTATGAAACGTGTAAAAAACTATCTGTTCCAATAATTTGTCCAGTTGATGAATTTGGAAATTTTAATTCTGAAGTAGGTAATCCTACATTTGAGGGAAAATTTGTATTAACAAATGGGACATCAGCTGTAATAGAATATTTAAAAGAAAATAATAATTTAATTAAAGAAGTAAAATTTATACATAAATATCCTTATGATTGGAGAACAAAAAAGCCAATTATTTTAAGAGCTACTGCTCAATGGTTTGCTAACGTCGGAGCCATTAAACAAAAAGCCATTGAGTCACTTCAAGAGGTTAAAATGGTACCTGAAGCTGGTAAATATATTAAAATTAATGCATCGTACTTTATAAGGTGAATAAGGATAACTTGAGTTTTTTTTAATTATAGCACGATATCGATTGGAACAGTTTACTTTATCACGTAGTGAATGGTGTATTTCGCGTCAAAGATCCTGGGGAGTTCCTATACCTGTACTTTACGAAACAGAGACGGATATTCCTTTGTTGACAGATTCTTCTATAAAACACATAATCGAAATTGTTAAGGAACATGGATCAGATGGGTGGTGGGAAATTAATGAAAAAGACTTGCTTCCCCCCGAGTATAAGAACAATGGTAATTATGATCGTTTAAAAATTCGAAAAATTATTTTAATAGGAAAGAAATAGGTAAATTATAAATAATGACTTTTTAGGTAAAACGTATAGAAGAGGGAATGATACGATGGATGTATGGTTTGACAGCGGAGTCTCTTGGACTTATATCTTAAAAAAATTCAAAAGGTAAATATCCTAAATTATTATTATGTGTTATTATTTACTAAGAAAATTTTACAATATTAGGGAAGATTCCAAGGCAATTTCAGATCTATATGTAGAAGGAAGCGATCAGCATCGCGGATGGTTTCAGTCATCTTTGCTAACCTCTAGTAATTATGATTTGTTATTACTATTAGACTGTGCAGATCTGTGAATATTTGATTAAATAATATTTTTTTTAAAAAAAAAAATCAGTTGCTGTAAATAATAAAGCTCCTTACTCAGCTTTGATTACACATGGATTTGTTATGGATGAACAGGGTCGAAAAATGTCAAAATCAATAGGAAATGTGGTGGATCCCAATACTATCATTAAAGGAGGAAAGGTAGGAATTAAACTTTTGAAAAAAATTATACGATTTTTTTTAATAATAAGATCATCCGTCTTTAGAACATTAAAAAAGACCCGGCATACGGAGTAGATGTACTTAGATTATGGGTTGCGTCATCAGAGTACATTAAAGATGTCAACATAGGGAACACTGTTATGAAACAAGTTGGAGAAAACATTCGGAAATATCGTAATACAGCGAGATTTATGTTGGGCAACTTGTATAATTTTAGATATGATCAATTGGTTGATTATGAAGAACTTTATCCCGTGAGTAATTATCATAATTGTGATCATTTATAAATAGTCGATTAAAAGCCGATCTTTTTTTAAACATATATATATATATAGATTGATAAATATATGTTACATGAAATTTATCATTTTGGAAATAACGTGAAGACCTTTTATGACGATTATACCTTTAATAAAGGTATGTAGATTTATTTTATTATATCATTTTACAATTTATAATACTAAATGATATTTAAAATATGATTCATAAATACATTATAGTTATTCAAACGCTAAATTATTTCACAAATACGTTGTTATCGGCATTTTATTTTGATATCATCAAAGATAGATTATACGCTGATTATTTAACAAGTCAAAGCAGGAAAAATGTGTTAACCGTTCTTTACCATGTAAGGGTGGTTCTTTACTTGTAGTGATTTAAAGTAATTTTCTAATTGGAGTTTATCGAATAGATCTTGAATGTTTATGCCATAACATTATCACCGATAGTTCCACATCTTGCGGAAGAAATTTATGAGAATTATAAAACTGTAGGACCCAAGGAATATGATAGTATTTTCAGATTAGGATGGTATAATTTGGTATGCAAATGATTAAAATTAACACATATTGCTTATTTGTTATTAAAATTTTGTGATTTAAATTAATTGTAGGAAGAAAAATGGAATAATCAACCTTTACGACAGGAATGGGATGTTTTAAAACATTTAAGGAATGACGTGAATCAATTATTAGAAGTCGCTAGAAAAGACAAGTAAGCCTTGATAAAAATTTTCTCATTACAATATATATTAAACATACAAGAAATCGATATAATTTAATATATAAATATATAGGATCATAAAAAGTTCATTGGAGGCTAATGTAGAATTGTACGTGACGACTACGGAATTATTCAATTTATTACACAGACATAGTAAGTAACAATATTTTATCATTTTCAATGCATTCAATTTATAAAATTTACTTTAATCTTAATTCATTTGAATCAAAAAAAAGAATTGGATTTAAAATCTATATTTATAACCTCCGATGCAACAATATCATCATTTGACAATGATTCACGATTAACTGAACCTACTCCAAGTTATATTCATGAAACTGATTTTCCTGAAGGCATAAAAGGAAATTGTAAAATTGTAGTTAAAAAAGCTTCTTTATTCAAATGTCCTAGATGCTGGAATTTTAATGCACAAATTGAAGGTGGATTGTGTAAAAGATGTGAAAATGTTTTGGCCATAAGTTAATGCTTGCACTTTCTAACAGATGCTTTTTTTTCAAATACGTATCGATATTTTAATAAATTAATATAAAAAGGATTGGTGCTAACTTGTCCATTGCAATCATGATAGCGCGAGGTATTTTTTTTTTTTTTGAACAGGACAGACGTTTCTAGGTTCTTTGGACTTTGAAAAATCATTTATTGAAAATGTATCTTGGCAGCTGAATAAGACAAAGCGACGCTCTGAAGTATACAAACCCAAATTTTTTATTTGAATTCAATGACCCATCACCTAAAGAATATCACAGCCTTGACAAAAAAAATTCTTTTGATTTTATCTTGTTCAAATAAAGACAAACTTCATTGCAATACATAGATTTCAAAAAATATCAAACACGATATTTTTTTTGCGCGAGGCGTTTAAGATAAACGTCATTTGTGGCAAAATAAAATTGAATTTTTCCGTATAAATTCCATTACTAGTAAATGTTTAGCCGATCAGGTGTGAATAAAATTTCCCCCCACATATTTTTTATAGTTTTATCTTCTCTTTTCCCTTTTGATTTTACTTTTCTGTTTTGTATATAATAATTCTTTTTTCTTAAAAAAAAAAAAAAATGTCTACAAATTATAATTGTTCTGAATGTAAAAAATTAAAAATTAAAAGCGAAGATGATGATAAAATCATTACAAGCTTAAGAAAAAAAGTTATTGGTCTACAAGATGATTTATTATTTGCTCAAAAAGAAATAATTGAATTAAAACATGAATTAATTAGTTCTGGAAAGCTTAATTCTGTCACTCAATCAAATTATGATAATCATGAGAACCTAAGGGTGTACTTTTCAACCAAACAACAAAAGAATACAGGTATAAAAGATATATATATCCATCTATTTTTTTTTTTTCTTTTTTAATATATAGTATTCTATATATTCTACAATATTTAGTAAATGGTGACCGATTAAAGTTATTTTTTGGAAATGTTGTAAGACCAATAACAAAAAATATTCTTATAAGTAATGTTGAAGATGCTTTTGGACGTGTAGTAGATTATTATAAAGACCCGAATTCGGTAAGTGCATGGATGATTTAGTTATTGATGTAAATCATTGATAACCAACTAAATTTCCATTTTTTTTTTGTCAAAATAATGTCATTAAGCCATTTGCTTTTGTTTATTTTGCCGATGAAAATGGCTATAATGCCGCGCTTAATCAAGGAAAGATTTTAATAGAAGGAATTAACGTTCGTATTGAAATGCCTTATAATCAAAGAAATTATTATCAATGACATGATTTAAAAGGTAACGATGATTTATCCGGATATATATTTTTGTTTAAAGGAATTAATAAAGAACTTGGAGGAATGAACAATGGATTTATAATTACCATAATCGAAATTATCAATTAATCTAATTCACTTTAATAAAAAAAAAAATGTTTGTATTTTTGTATAATAATTTAATACATAAATATGATCGCCAAAAGACATACAAAATGTAGCGTATCAACGTGAAGAATAAAAAAAAAAAAAAAAGATTCTAATTCTATTTTCTTCGGAATCTAGCATTAGGCCCGAAGATTTGAGTTTAATTTTATTATGTCAATGGTCTTGATTAAATTAACATATTTCGAGCCACTTACATGTGAACACGTCACGCGAATGCATGTATGTATGTAACACCAATTTAACACATCTTTTTGCATCGGGTATTTTTAATTTATAAAAAAATTTTCCGATAAGTAAAACGTTATCGTACATAATCTTAATACATTTTCTTGGCAAAATGTCTTGGCCATTCATGCCTATAATTAGATTTTAACAATGATTCTAAACCCCCTTACATTTTTACTTTTCAAATGAGAATCAAAAGAAAAAAAAATTGATTTTTAAAATGATTTTCAAGAATTTTTATTAAAAATTGTGATTTTGAGTCGTTTAAAATAGAATTAAATGTAAAGCCGTTTTTAATTTAAGATCCGATTCGTGGGTAAATCCATTTTCCGGATTAATGTTTTTCTTGGCATTTTACCTAAAAAGAACAGACTTTCGTTACATCATTTATTTTTAATAATGATTCAAACCATTTATACTTAGCATACAGACTGTGCAATTAATGTGCATACCAAATTAGAGGTTTGCCCTTTGTTCATCTCTGTCGAGAGAAATTTTACTAAATTAAGCTATCAATTATGATAATGATCAATGATTTATTTTTTATTTTTATATTGGAGAAAAGTTTATAAAAAGCTCAAATAATGTTCTAATCCCAACCACAAGTTTCATTCTTTTTTTTCATTCAATCAACATTTAACCTAAATAGTTTTATTAGATAAATCTATAGAAAGAGAAAAAAAAAAAAAATGAAACTTATCTTCGAAACTTCTCTTTACGTTCTTGCACTTTCACTTTTGACCGTTACAACTAATGCACAGTTAACTGGGCAATGGCCAGAAGTTGATAAACCTCCACCAGTTAATGATGCATGGACTTCTTTAGTTGATCTGTCAAAACTTCCCAATGCTCCGTTATCGAAAGGCGAAAGTGATTGTCCTACAAATGATGAATTTTGTAAATGGAGTTGTACTCAATGCACTCGTAATGATTCCGACATAGTTTTCTGTCCCAATACAAATGGTTTGCACTTTTTCTTAAATATGATTGGCTTAAAATTCATCTTAATATTTTTTTCATCCGCTTTACAATTTTTTTTTTTAATTTCATTTTGACTTTTTGTCAAATTTATTCTCTTTTTTTTTTTTGGATTTTTTGTAATAGATTGGGGTCTAAGTTTCGATGATGGACCAACGTAAGTTTATTAAGAGCATTTATATATGATGATCTTTTTTACTAACTCTTTTTTTTATTTTATTATTATTTTTTTTCCCAGAGCGTTTACGGATGCTTTATTAGATTATTTGGCATCAAAAGATGTTAAATTAACATTTTTCGTTATCGGTTCACGAGTAATAGAAAATCCACAAACTTTGCTAAAAGCATTCAATGCTGGTATGTTTAATGAATTCATTAATTTACTTTTGTGTGCGTATTAATTATATATATATATATATATATTATTAGGACATCAAATTGGAGTACACACTTGGTCTCATACACATCTTACCCAGCAATCCAATGAGGAAATCATTGCAGAAATCAAATGGACCGAAGAGGCGATAAAACAAGCCGTGGGTGTCACACCAAAATATATGCGACCACCTTACGGAGACGTTGATGATCGTGTCAGAGGAATCTTAACTCAACTCGGTTATAAAATTGTTATGTGGGATAGAGATACGCAAGATTACTTGACAGGAGAGGATAAGACATTTAAAGCAGAATGGATCGAAGGGAATTTTACTCAATGGGTTAAAGAACCTTCTACAACAGGACATATCTCATTAGAACATGATTTATATGAAGCGAGCGCTGCTAGAGCTACGTATGTTGTACCGATTGTACAAGGTGCGGGATATAACGTTAAACCCGTAGCTGTTTGTATAAATGATCCACAACCCTACGTCGAAAATGTTAGTTTGAGCACAAATAGTACCTTTGCTAAAACCTCAACGGTTGAAACTCCAACTCCAACTCCAGCGGCTTTATCCCCAACAACAGAGTCCCCAACAGAATCCCCAACAACAGAATCATCCACACAAAGCGTCGTTGATACAACTACTTCAAGTGCTTTATCATTAACGAATAATAATAATTTGCTGTTATTAATATTTATGATTGTAATAGGATCTTTTATAATTTAATTTAAGTTTAAAATTTTATAATACTAGAATATTGTTTTTTTACGGACACTTATTACTTCCAAGATTCAAATAATTTAAATAAATTAAGAACTGAAAATTATAATTTCTGCTAGATTTCTATCAAAATAATTTTTCTTATGTTAGTGATGTCTCATTCAATAACTAATACTTTGAATTTGCTAATGTCTAATTATGTAATAAATCAAGTAAGATACGAACTTCCTTGTTGTTATTATAAACGGGTTTGACTTCCCATTTAAGTTTGAATGTGGCTAGTTAAAATATTGTAAATTTATATAATAAAAACGATCAGTGTGATAAATGTTAGATTAATATAAATAGACTTCGTTTCGTTCTCTTAAGGTCTATTACAGAACAACGACTGAGGGAGTAATGGTTGTATTCTTTGTATGTTTATTAATAAAACCTTGTTTTTTCTTTATTTAAATTTCGATCGATATTGTTATCGCTAATTAATAAGCTTTACGGTTATATAGGAACCGGGTTCGACCTTCGGTATTTATTCAAACATGGAATAATAAAATTGTAAAGTCTAGGAAATAAATTAGGTTTAGAATATTGTATACATTCTTTTGTGAGTCGTAACTGAACTTATTGGATAGAAGTTCAAATATCTATTATTGGATTATGCTATGAATTTATAGGTAAAGACAATTTCTAATGGAATTATTTTTGACAGACTTATAAATCAAAGGAAAGGGCTAGAGCTTTTTCTGAAGTATTTAATATTTAAGAAACTGATTTAAGTTTTTCTAATAGCTGGTTGTAAAAATTTAAAAAACATAATAATTTTCATATATTTTGTATATACTAATATTAGCAATTCTTTTAGAGAAAAAACAAAATTACCCCAACTATTAACTTATCAAATTTAAAAAAATAAGTTTTACTACCAAATGGTTTTCTAAATCAAATATTATCAACAAGACTGATTCGTGAGTGAAAAAAAGATAAGATTAGAATTAAAGTTTTTTTCAATGCTAATGTAATAGAACTAGACATACTTATTTTAAGACCCGGATATAATTCATTTTTTAGGTATTTTATATAAGATCCGAGTATTTTATACCGAAATGAAAAATTTTCTTATTTTTTATTGAATAAATGAATTACATTAAAATTTTCATTAATTTCATAATAATCATTTTTATTTTCACTATCATCATTCTCTAATTCATTTCTATTACCATCTGACTGAACTGAACTAAGTCAAATTGATAATATCCCTACTTACCATCCAAGATATTCCCATAATATTATTATCCACCCACTTATAATATTCTACCATCTAAAATACCAGTTATCTAATGAAATACCATGAGTATCATTTAATTTTCAAATCAGAAAAATTGTAAGATACCTGTAGTATCTATACAGTGCTAAACAATATTGTAAAAATCAAAAAAAATTTATAAATTTAGCAAAATAAGCAGGTTAGATTTCAAAAATAAAAAGATCTACTTTTAATTAATAATACGCTTTTTCATATTATTTGTCATCTTATATATTGAACAAAATGAAGAATAGAGGGATATTTATATTAACATCTAGATTATAAAAATTATAAAAAAGTTATAATATATTAAAATATAAATAAAATTAAATTAAACTTTATATTTGAAAGTTTTAACTTAAAAATTGTTCAAATTTTTGATAATAAACTTTTATCATATGATAAAAAATCAACCAATAAAATACAAGGATTTGTGTAATTAAAAAGTTAAATTTAAAAGAATATTACATACAAGTTTTTTGATTTTAGTCAGAGATTAGAGAATACTAAAAAAGAATTCTGTAAAGAAAAAATCTTTTGATAAATCTGAAGAGAATAATTTAAAAGCTAAGTATTATACTATTTTATTTATTATAATATTATTATTTTACTTTTTATTAATTATCCATTATTCTTTTAATATTTTCAGATAATCAGCAATATGATTTATATTTATTAATAATCTATTTAGCAATTTTACCCTTTAATCCTATTATATATATTCATATACCTTTACAATTTATATATAAACCTATAAATAATTATTATAAAAATACTATTAAATTTTAAGAATATTCTCTATTAAATCTGTATAATTATAACTATATAATTCTTTAATATCTTATTTCATAAAACTTTATTACTACTCTATAAAGTTACATTTATAATAAAAGTTTAGATACCATTTAAAAATATATTTTGATTCAACAATATTTTCTTCTAATACTAACTATTGCTTAATAAAATTAGTTTATAAAATATTATTCATCGTATATAGCAATTCAGTTTTGTTAAGTCATTATCGATAACCTTTTCAGAATATTTTTTTTGCATACTAAATTAATCCTTTTTTAGACATATTTATTGATATACTATAAATTATGCATTCTAAGTTATTTTTCTTCAGATCCTAAATTTATTTTTGTTATAATTAATATATCATTTGATATAGTATTATAATTAATTAACTGATCAAAACAAAAATGTTAATACATTTAAAGTATAATACTTCAAATATTGGTATTACTTTTTAAAATTTTTATTATTATTATTATAAAAAAATAATATTAAACAAACCTGTTCTATTATATTTTCTGAGATCTAATATCTATCACTTGTATTAAATGAAAAATATAAGCATTTTTATCTATAATATGGGTAGATTGTTAGGAAAATCAGGTTCTAGAAATTTTTTAGCAAAATTGAGATTTTTATTGCATTTTAGTTTTTGATGTAATTAGATTAAAATGTATTAAACTCTTAA